CTCTAAAGTTGAGCTAAGTAGATCGGGTCTAAAGTACTGCTGGTAACTATAGACGCTTTCCTTTTGTGGTTGTCCTGAAAGATGTCTTCAATAATGTCAATAATCTGAACCGGTTTTTTCTAAATTTCCGAAACTACTTCTTTATGATCATGTTATATATATAAAGTGATCAGACAAACTAAATATTTTACATGTCGCAAATCAATTAATTTAATGTAAAATTAAGTTCTATACTGATTTTTTAAAAATTTTATTTCTGTTTTTTTTAAATTTTATTTCTGTTTTTTTTTTTCTATTTTTTATCGGTCATCGTTTGACAACATGCCCTGGCCCCAAGTTTGTGTCTCTATTCGATCCACAGTCATTTCAATAATAAACCATGGAAAATACTAAGAAGACTAAAAAAGGTTTAAAAACAATCCACTTTGAGATGCATAATATTAATTTGCATCACATGGAAGTTATAAGTTGTATTTGCGAGTAAACTGGTTATCTGAAAGGGGTATAACGTCAGGTGTTCAATGCCTCCCGAGAAGAAACGATTCCGCTTTTGACAAAAAATTCATACCCTCCACAGGCATGTGCCAAAAAAATATTTTGCTACTATTTTGTTTGTTTATAGTTCCGTTTATCGTTTAAAGGAAATTTTGGCACATGCCTGCGGAGGGTACGAATTCTCGTTAAATGTACTGAAAATCTTTGTATTCTAAGCAATAATTACAAATCATGGCGTTTTCGAGGTTCTATTGTGACGTCACGGAACGTGATTTTTGCCGAAAATAACATGTTTTCTGAAAACACTTTACAATGATTATTTTAGTTGGTAATATGTAACTGTGAAGGAACTTCGTTTTTTTGTGAAAATTGGGGCCGATTTTAGCCCTTATTGCCCCTACTCCTTTGATTGCTAGTTGCTTGCGTAACGTCACTTCACATATAACTCGATTAGGACTAGTAATGAATAAGTAATACCAATTTTTTAATTGAAATGTGTACTATTTGTTTCAAGACTTTCTTTTTCAAAGTTCCGTAATGCTTTACTTTGCATAGTGTGCAATATAATAAAAGGAAAATACAGTAAGAACTCATCAAAGATACCAGGCTTATATATTTGTATGCACCTGTTCTAAGTCAGGAGCCTGTTGTCCAGTGGTTGTCGTTTTTTTTGTTTTTTTGGTGTGGTTCATAAGTGTTTCTCGTTCCTCGTTTTTTATTTAGATTGGTCCGTTGGTTTTCCTGTCTGAATTGTTTAACACTAGTCATTGTGTGCCCTTTATAGCTTGCTGTTCGGTGTGAGCCAAGGCTCCGTGTTGCAGGCAGTACTTTGACCTATAATTGTTTACTTTTTATACATTGTGACTTGGATGAAGAGTTGTCTCATTGGCACTTCTTATCTATATTTATAGTTTTAAGTACATTAATTTCGTTTACAAAAAACTGATGAGGTACATTCCGTAGAGAAAAATAACATTGTGAACTTTGGTCCACTAAAATACAACCCGTTCATTTGTATCATTTTTAATAACATTTTGGAAAGAAAAATAACTGTCGCACACTCATGTTAAAATATTAATCTTTTCCTTTTTGTTATTAAGTAAAAAGGTATGATTGAACGGTTTGTCCTTTATTTCTTAAAGGTTATAAAAATAGTAATATATATTTATGATCTAGTACTAGCCACTTTAAACCAAAATTGCAGGTTTTTCATCAACAGGTAGAAAACATAATGCGAAACTGCAGCTTATCACCCTTGGCGTCTTATTCCTTTCAAAATATTCAAATTGCTATCAAGATGGCGGCCATCCAAGACAATCGTCGGTGTCAAATGATGATTTAAAAACTTTTAAGACAGAAAATAACATGTTTTGTTGGCAATCATTTAGTATGTACTGTAAGTACCGATTTGGGATTTTTTTCGTAAATATTCTGTGCTACCATCGCAATAAATTGACTACACTCGGCAAAACATTAAATTTATATTCACTTACTCTGGCGGTTGATAAATACAGTGTATGTAATTATAATGTTAAAACAATGTTGTAATTGAACATACTATCTATGATGTTTCCTTAAAATATTCAATAGTGCAACCACGTTAAAATGTAAATTTTTGCCTTTGTCATTTTTATATGATAATGTTTTATTCTACTATTTATTTCTTCTTAAAATAGCGCTACATTTTGAACGGAATAGGACATATTTTCACCATAGGTTATGCATTTTTGTATTAGTTGTTACCAGATTCAAACCTTGACATGCGTTCAAGATGCAGCAATATTCAAGACATAAATTTGTTTTCTGTTTTACATAGATTTAGTGGTATTAGTATTCACTGACTTACATTGTTTTTTTCAGTTTGTATGGGTATTTTCGCAATCTTGGAAAATTGTATGAAACAAAGGGATATTTGAATGAATAAGAAATTTTAAAACATATTTTTAAATGATTCATAAGACCTTAAATTGAAGGACAAAAACTGCGATTTTATCTTATTATTAACATCACACAAACAGGACGGATCGTTAAATGGTGAATATACATTCAGTGCTGTGTAAGCTTTTGCTCTGTGTTGAAGGTTTTGTTGTGAATTAGAGCTGAGTTGCTTTTTTGTTTTGTCAAGTCTCAGTACGTGTTGGGAATTTTTGTCATGTCCCTTCTTTAAATAAATACAGAAAATGAAGATTTTTAGTTTTTAAAAGATATTATTATGCGCTATATTTATACAAACGTGTAATTGTTTAGGTACAAAAATGATAGTATAAATTGATATATAAACGATAGTGTAAATTTAGAAAATTAATAATTTTAATTTTCGAATGTACCAAATCATATCCATCATCAACGGGGGATTTCTCACCATTTACATTGTCAATATTAACATTTCTAAAGGGTAAGTCTGAAATACCAAGCTTACACAGATACAAGCACCAGAGAAGGTAATGGATTACAGAGGAATCTTTATCATGGGTTTCCTTGTCTGCATTATAATGGTAAAATCATACAGTTTTGATGTAAGTAGCTTATTGTTTATACTTTTGCAATTTTGTTTGACCCTTGTATTAAATTCAATACTGGTATGTACACACGCATTCTGAGTACTCCAGAGGGCCGTTCAATGTACAGTTTTTTTCAAAAATTTCGACTTGTGGACATTGTAGCTAAAACATCAAAATAAAACAGAATTTTTTTGTCTGGTTTTTGTACAGGAATCCGAAATATAAACATAAAAATATTTCTTAGTAGAATTATGATATTTAAATATTACATTTGCACGAGAAAAATTATGACAAGATGCAATTATATGAATGAAGCTAAGACAACCGTACGAAAAAGACACACACATAACAGATAAAATGTTATTATCACACGCATGATATTACAGATGGTTTGATTTCCAAAAGGTTAAGTCGCTAATCAAAATAGTCTAAATGCAGAACAACAACTCACAAAATACAAAGATAAAAATAAGGGGACGGAAAGGGACAAACATATCGACAGAAAACACCATAATCAAAATAATACAAAACGAAAAGATCATCATGCTCAACAAAAACAAAACAATGTCAATCAGACTCAACATAAACAAAACGCAACTTCAACCATACTCAACAAAACCAACAAAATGTTAATCACACTCAACATAAATAAAACGAAAGTCAACCATACTCAACAAAACATAAAGAAACGTCAACAATACTCAACAACAAAAACAGGACACACACACATTTGATGTGTTATTGTACAGATTAAAAATACTCAATTTACAGGTAAATTATTTCTTGAAACTTAAATTCCATTTAAAAAAGGTGTTTGAATACCATTGTGTTGTTCATAACAAGAAAACAAAAAGTATGAAGTCATATCTGGTGAATATTCAGGTATAAACAAAGGGGATTTGTGTAAGCAAACAAGAAAATAACAGGAGTCATCAGTATCAAAGATATTCCGTATAAAAAATAGTATCTATTACATGGATTGCGTCCTTTAAACTTTGATAGAGATTATCATGACTATTTTTCCGATATCCTATGTTCAATATTTAAAATATTGGGTATAAAAGGCAATGATTCTGATATGATTTACATATCTACAAAAAAAGGACTGTAATTGGTCCTTTTCAATTTTTCCTTGGTTTCTCCTTCGACAGACCATGTTAGAAGTAAACTAGTACATTACATATGGAAAAAACACAAATAACATTATTGGCCTAATCAATGTCAAATAGATTTTATCAAAACAATAAAGTGATACAGAACATTTACCACAGGTCGACTAATATTCGGTTCTGAAAGAAACATACATGTAACAAATGTGAAAGAGAAAGTAGCTTCTCCTATTTTAAAACCTCGTCAGTTGTTATCTTCTCAAAAACATGTATTATTATCACTCTTTTAATATGAACATACAATTTTATTGACGTTATAGTTTTAAGCACTTGCTTTACATTACTGAAATATGAATTATTTATCAAATCAATTAAGGATTTAACAAAACATGATACACAAATCAGTTATGTACAATTATACAGATTAAATGCAATTATCTTATAGACAAATTTCCGTTGAAAAGCCTTTACTCGTTCAAATGAATCAGAGTTTCTGTTTCTTTTAAAAATATCTGATCTGCATTTAAAATATCAAAGTAGCGGAGAAGAAGCTCTGCATTGCTTATCATGCACTTTTTAATTGAAGGTCAAAGCAGTTTCGTTGCATAGATCATTTTGAATGTAATGATGCATGTAACCAGGTGTAGTCTCTATCAGACGAAATGCACAAATAGAATAGAATGAAATGATGTATGAAATGATGTTTCGGTGAACCACTATTCATACGAAGTCTTACATGAAGAACCTGACACAAGCTAGTTTCAGTATCATGTTAGAACATTTACAACAGATGGATGACTAGACGATAGCAAATAGGAAGAGTTGGAACATCAATGTTTTTTATTCATTTTCAATACCAATTTGTTCGATTTCACGACTGATAATTCTATTTCAGACCAATTACAGACCTGCGAAAAACATTTTTCACGACGAATACAGAAGAATGAATACACAACAACAACCCCCATTAAAGTTAAACCAAATCCTTCAAGCGTATTATAAAAAGGTATGTGTATAACTTATTGTCTGCTTAATCAAATTTAACATTGAATTTTAAACATTTTTTTTTATACATCTCTGGTTTCCAAATATTTTGATTTGGCGTTCCTTATACTGTGTTATTTTCACTTTTAAAAAAAAACAGAAGTCAAGCTGACTATTTACTAATTAGTTTTAATTAACGTTTCACTCGAGCTATCTTAGATGTCACGACTTACTGAAAAAAACGGGCTTTTACGCTTGACATGGCCTCCAAGGTATTGTAATAGTTTCACTACTGGGACATAGATATTTTTAAATAACTTTATCAACTTTCTGTCAAAATGTCTTTAATCGTGAATTTCGTTTTTTTGTGATTTTTGAGAATGCGTTTGTTTGTTATCTTGTGAATCTTATGGTTTATGGTTTTCGATATTACCAAACAAAAACTCAAATAAAAAGTAATTGGATATGGACGTCATTATTGCTTGGAGTGCATGATCCAAACGAGACGATAGGAAGGGGAAACCAATGTAAACATAATTCGTAGATAGACGACTAACACTATGACTACATGACTACAAGAAAAATACAAACAAACGACAGTACACAAATAACTAATTGGACTAAAGATTGAACAAAATAAATGAAAGTAACACTCCATGAATTCCCTGCGTCCGAAGCGCTTTCGTGGATTTACTCTCATCAGAAACGCTCATACCCAAACATATCATAGCTAGGGATGTATAAATAACAGTCCTACAAAAGTGGTATCGACCCCGTGCTAGTAACTGAAAAAATCACTTTATAAATTTCATTTGTCCGATTGGCTTTTCTAGATGTACAATGTACATTCATCATGAACGACAAAACCCAAATATTTTAAAACCAGGGGCGTATAAAAACGTAAAAACTTTCTTCGCTATTTGACCAAAAATTACTTTACAAATTAGCCAAATTTATCTCAGGTCAAAACCTTTTCCAACTGATCTTTTCACACAGAACGTTGAAATTCGATTCGCCAGTTGTTTAGTTTTCACTTAAAGATTTTTTAATGCTTAAGGATGAGTTATTTGCGTCATATAACTAGCTATATCATATACCAAGTGAAGTTTTGTTTTTATAAACCAATTACTATTTACAAACACGTTGAAAATAGCAAACATATAAATATGTATAGTTATTCAGATCAGTAAATAATTCTTTATCATTAACTTAAGATATCTATACATAAAAAGCTGGCACATATACCACTGTTTCTTTCATCAGCAAGTAAATGACATTAGTGACATTAAAAAGCACTGATGTATAAGAAGATAAATGTGGTCATTTGTTTTGTAGGGTGTACAGGACAAATACAAGAGATGGTCAGAATGCAGTCCAACAGGATGTTAAAAGTAACAACCATAAAGAAAAAACAATTTAACTTAATGAATTATTAAAAAGACAAATAACAACAGTAGTCTGTTATTTTTTTAATGAATCTAATAGTACATTTGTGATAGAGTTTGTTTTAAAACATTTTGCGTATCGTTGCGTCATTTGATACCTTACTTTCAAGAGAAAAAGAAAAATACAAAGTTCATAGATCTGGCATCAATACCAACAATTTCCTGAAGGGAAAAAATAGAAGTTATGAGGTTCATTAATATGGACAGGCACACAAACATGGATAACTTTTTTTGGACGTAATATTCCCATTTTTTTTTAATAAATGTAAAAGCTAAAGTAACATAGAAAAATATACAATAACGATAAACAACAAATAAGGGTAACAATTTTATGAAACTTGTATAGCAGACAACTAAAACACAGGTACAAAAAAAAACAATGCTCAATTTTACTGTTTCAAAGAATGCTCGCAGTTATTAAAGGCAAGCTCACAGTATCTTAACTACTCTCTTGTCTTATTTCGGCGGCAGTACTGCGAAGTAAATTACATACAGATAGATAGTGTAGGAACACTAGATCTTGTGCATTGCAGGAAACAATTGAACTTAATTCCAATACTGTGAAAGGAAACGTGAACACTTGATTCATATTTCAGCTATAATAAATATACTTGCGAATTGATATCACTCACAAAAAATGTGACTAAACACCGATGGTACTACGATAGACTAATCACCGATGTTACTACGATAGACTAATCACCGATGTTATACTAATCACCGATGTTACTACGATAGATTAATCACCGATGTTACTACGATAGACTAATCACCGATGTTACTACGATAGACTAATCACCAATGTTACTAAGATAGACTAATCACCGATGTTACTACGATAGACTAATCACCGATGTTACTACGATAGACTAACCACCGATGTTACTACGATAGAATTGGCTGTTTTTTAGAACCCCTTTGGTCAGATAGATCCTAAAGTTTTCAAATACTTATAAATCCCTGGCTTTTAAATTTTTGTTTTGAGTGTTTCTGATGAAAATTGATCAAGAAAAGCGGTTCGGACGCACCAAATTAATATCATGTGAGACGGGTGAGCCTAGTTTAAAAGTAACTATTTACCTTTCCGCGGCATCCGAGTGTAGTACTTCCCTTGTGTTGCTCATCCTTTAGATTTTCATATAGTTTTGAGCCTGTTTTTTTATCATTATTGTCCTCGCTTTTCATTTTGTCATGGTATTGTCTGTTTTAATTGTCTTAATATAGTTTGTAATGCTCTTTTGGTACATGTAACTTCTTTATTTCCCCTTTTTACATGAAAAATCTCTATTTTATGATAATATAAGAAATACTATAAACTAAGATTAATTTGAAAAGTGTTTTTGAAGAAAACTTTTTCAGTGTTGCTCAAACAAATAAAACGTTGAACAGAAGTATACGTAGTTATTTCGTTAGAATAAGGTACAAAAGGTTAACAAATATTTACAAAGAAAAAAGTTTCCCACCTGCATCTCTTAAATATTTCTTAATTAATACTGATTTTTCTTAATTGTGGATGTCGTATATATTGCTAGTGAATCTTCTCACACTCAAGTAAAGTATTTCCTGCTTAACTGATATACATTTGTTTGCAATTGATGCAGTAAATATGTGTTAAAAAAGAATAGAGAATAATAGGGTGTTAGAAAATATAAATAATAATCAATATCTGAAAATAAATAAAAATATGTAAAACAAATATTGATTACAGAAAAGATTAACAGAATAACAGCTTTCTGTACATAAAATCAATTATTGATCATAGAAGAAAGTGTGAAAATGATCGAACTTTTTGGACATAACGTCGTATACATAACACCATAGTACCCAAATTGCACCCATTTAGCAAAAATGGCAGCAGATATCTTACAAGTTTTGTTAGAGACTAAACAATTTGTATTTTCATGATTTGACATTATGCACGTCCTTTTATATACATAGATAAATATATTCAAATATACACAAAATGTTCACAGTATATATCAACATACTATGAAGTATTCACTGTGAAAAGTCAAATCTACGGAAACTTCGCCATGCGACGTCCACAAAATGTCAACTTTTAAAAATGGGCAACTAAAATATGTTACAGGCATCCATTAAAAAAATGCATAGTAAGCATAGACTATTGTCAGATTGTTCTTAATATTTGGAGAAATAAAACAAAACATCGGATATTCGATTCTTACGGATGTGAATTAAAGCATAGATGCAAATTGGGTTTCAACAGTGAGAAAAACCTCATACCGTATAGTCGGCTATAAAAGGCCACGACATGAAAAATATGAAACAATTCAATTGAGAAAACTGACGGCCTAATTTATAACAAAACAATTTACGAAAGACAAATATGACAGACATGAACCAACGACAACACCTGAACTACAGCCTCCTAACTTGGTACAAGCACATAAAGAATGTGGCGGGGTTAAACATAATTGTGAGCGCTCAATCCTCCCCCTAACCTGGGACAGTGGTGTAACAACACAACATAAGAACAAACTATAAAAATCAGTTGAAAAAGGCTTAACTCAGTCAGATCGATACAAAGAAAAACATCAAACAATAACACAGACAGGACGTGGCAGGGTATACATTTATTGAAACCATGTTCTGTAATAACAAAACAAAAAATAGGGGGCACATTTGATAAATTTGTTTTAACAGTTTGTTTGGGGTTTTTTTTAACGATAAGGATGCTCTAGCATAAAGTATACAAGCAAATATGCCACTTGATTACAACACATTGAGACAAGTAAAACGGGTTAATTAGATATCACTTTAATTAAAGTACTTCCGTAAGGCTAAGAGATTTATCTGATCTCTTGTAAAAGTGGCTTTGTAAATACAGATTAAAGTCGACAAATAACCAACTTTTCTTATCAATTAGTTCCGTCTGTTGGTCATAGACCAATGTCACAGTTGATATGTCTATCATATTCATCAAACAGAAACCAAATCAATACACGATTTAAATGAATATAATCTTTAAAATGGGAACAACCATGTGTCTTTCATCTATGACAATAATGTTAAAGGCGATGACCTTGACCCTTTCTTTTCTACTGATTTTGTTTCTTGTCAAAACTCCATGATACTTCACATTTTTCTCACGTTCTAGAAATTCACATTTATCCAACACGCGTCACGTGTACATCCCGTACAACTTTATTTATGATTTTTGAAGAAATTTTTCATGTTAATTGTGTTAAGTATATTTTTGAAATCTGGGAACAATTTTTGCAGATAAATTTAATAATTGATTATAGTAGCAATTGTAAAATTATCGTTTTCGAACATAGTTTTACATATTAGATTTTTTTCAATGAATAAGTTTTATGCGATTTGTCGGATGGGTGTTGTGATCATTTGGAAAATTATTATCAGCAGGCCATTTATTGAAATGTTCTTTATTAAAACAAAAAGGGGGGGGGGGTCACTTTTTATGATTTTTGTTTCTAGATGATGTGAATGATCTAGCATTAAGTATACAAGCAAATATACCATTTCTTTACAATACAGTCATTGGAAACAAAAATGAGAGGCGAAAGATACCAAAGGGACATTCAAACGCACAAGTTGAAAATAAACTGACAATGCTATGGCAAAAAAAAAAAAAAAGACCAAAAGACAAACAACAGTACACAAAACACAACATAGAAAACTAAAGACTGAGCAACACGAACCCCTACAAAAACCGGCAGAGATCTCAGGTGCTCCGAAGGGTAAGCAGATTCTGCTCGACTTCTGGCACCGGTCGTGTTGCTCATGTAATTAAGTACAAACCCGGTGATAAGTCTAATTTGATAGGTCACATTGGGGGGAAAAGATGACGGAATTGTGGTTACGACAATTGGAATATATCCGTCGTTATCTGTGAAACAGATATTTCATTACGGTCAACCAAATCGTGATGCCATAAAATTTACGAATGGGATGATTTCAACTTCACCACTTGGAACTCTTGGTTTAATAGCTTCCTTGTGAGCAGCAACCCTCTATCAAGGAAAATCAAAAAAATAGCTCTGGAATATCGTTTCTACTGGGAAAGATATATATATACTCCATATGCATGCGTTGCTGGAATGTTGCTACATAGAAATAGAAAGTTCACAATTGGGTGCGAGTAAATTGAATATAACTTTAATTTAAGTACTTCCGTTTTGGCTTAGAGATTTATCTGATCTCTTGTAACAATGGCTTTGTCAATCAGAAATAAGTCTACAAATAACCGACTTTCCATATCAATATGTTCCATCTGTTGGTCGTAGACAAATGTCACAGTATATATGTCTATAGATACACATGTTGTTATTCTACTGTATAATCAAACGGTCAAGGACAGAATGAATACACGATTTGATTAGGTATAATTCATAAAATGGGAACAATTGTGTGTCTCTCATCTAAGACAATAATGTTAAAGGCGATGACCTGGTCCACTTTCTTTTCACAAACCTTGAACATTATTTAACTTGAGGCCACTGAATTTGTTTCGTGTCAAAACTCCGTGATAATTCACATTGTTTTCACATAAGAAATTCACATGTATCTAACACGCGACACATGTTACATCCCGTACAAATTTAACGGGTTTTTTTTTAAGAAATGTTTCATGTTAATTGTGAATAAAATCTTTTTAACTATCAGAAATCTGGGACCAACATATAGATATTGGTCTCAGCAGAAATATACCGGTAATGTGTAGTCATCACTCGTCGTCGTTCATCGTATACGTTATTCTAAGATATTATCCTTGGTGTAATTTAAAGCAAACTTGACGTAATTTGTCTTTTAACAGGATATCAAAATATAGTTTGAGATTAATAGTTTTGGCCAATCAACCTTGATGGCAGCTGTGGCTACAAATAGAACATACGGGTATACGGGTGCAATGCTCGCCAAGTAATATTCTAATATCTAATATATCTTTATAGTAGATATAGAAAAGTTGTAGGGCCATAAGTATCAAGTGTTTAGATCTCTGAAGGGATGTTATGCTGCTTTAAGA